CCCAGAGACCCACTTCTAATGACTGCATCACCTGCTCCAGGTCACCTCATGTCTGGGTTGTGCCTGCGGGCTGGAGGTAGAAAGGAAGGCAAACGGAGTAAGAATAAATAAAATAATTAATCAACAGAAGAGGCATGTTGGCATTACTGTGGATAAGTGACTCCCTTGCCATGGCAGTACATCCTAAAGATCCTGGAAAACCCACTTGGAGTCCAAGCAAGTGCCTGGCAGACACTGGAGTAGCCCAGGCTGGACAAAAGAGCTCAAGCTGGCATTCAATCTTAGAAGCTGTCCTTCGAGAAGCTGCCCAAAGAAATCACTGGGACCAAAAAGTCCTACCAAGCATCTTAAAATTTTACTACTAGCACTTCTCAGCAGCATGACTGGAGTTTTTGTAAAGTCCTCATAATTTAGCCTGGACACTGAAAATAAACCCTCTTGGGTTAAGGACAGGATCTTCCTCTCTGACACAAAGTATTTCTCCTATAAGCATTCAAACTACTTTCTACCACAGGATGGAGTTGTTTGGTTTCAGCATTCAAAATGCAGCTGCTAATTTTAAACAGATTTTAAAGAAGTTCTCCAGCTTTTCTAGGAATGTCCATGTTTAAGATGGATTTTTGGCCAGATTCTGCAATTCCCACCAGCCCATTTCCATTTTCCTGGAAGCACCTCCTCTAGGATGCTTACAACTCAAAAACAAGAATTTGATCAAGGTTGAATCATGGCATGCAAGGTTCCAGCCCAGCAGCAATCCTCATTTATTATATTTGGGATCAAAACTTCCAAAATTAATATAGTTTCCTTTTGGACTCCTGGGCTACAAACTAAACACAATGTATTCTATTTCAAAGAGGCTTCTGGGGAAAATATAAACTCCAAAGAGAATTCAAGCAACCAACAAGAACTCCTGAATGCACCTGAGCAGTGCAAATTAAACAAGCATTGTAGCACCCTGGACATCAATTTGTATTTGCAAGTTTCTGCTCCTTGAGAAATGGATTTTGGCAGGTAAGATTTTGAGGAAAAGGTCTTGGAGAGACAAAAGCAGCTTTCCCAACCCTTCAGCTCCTGGTGTAACCCAGGCCCCAAACGTGCCAGAGGAATCTCCCCTCCCAATCAAGTGTTCCCCCTCTGCTGCTGCTGAAAGGCAACGAGATCTCTCTTTACAACCCTCGTCTTCCCCAATAAATTTTGCATGAAAACACATCAGCCCAGCCCAGAATTCCTGCTGGCAGGCTGGGAGGGTGATGAATGTTTAATGCAAGCAGCATCCCCAGCTCCGTGGCAGACAGCAGCTTTGATCCCAGCACAGCTCCCGAGGAGTTCTGGGGTGCTCTGCCCCACACAACTCCATCACCTATATGCAAATCAGGGCCAATTACCATCAGTGACTTCCTACTGCACCAGCTGGGAAGAAGGGAGGGGAAAAATAATCCTGTGCCAAGTTCCAGGAGAGTCTGACTCGGAAAAGTCCAATATTCCCACTTTACTCCTGAGGTTTTCTCCAAACAGCAAAAATCTCATCAACAGCCATCAGTCACCACGTGCCATCCATGGGCACTGGGCATGGATCCAGCTCCAAGGGGTGTGGGGAAATGCCCCTGGAAAAAGGTCCCCAGACAGGGGGACCTCAGGGAAACTTCAAAGGAAAAATGGGGATTGTGTTTGAACAACAAACTCCTCAGCTCTGTAATACTGACAGGACACAGGGAACTGCCAGGGGGAAGGGATGGATGGGATTTTGGGAAGGAATTGCTCCCTGGGAAGGGGCTGGCACAGGGTGCCCAGGGGATCTCCAGTGTCCAGGACCACCTGGAGCAATCTGGTCCATGGAAGGTGGCCCTGCCCATGGCAGGAGCTGGAGTAAGATGGGATTTAAGGTCTGTCCAGCCCAAACCATTCCAGGATTCTGGGATTTCTCAAATATTTAGGAAGCTGTGAAACCATTAATGCCCAAATGTATCAATAACCTTATTAAGGATCAGCAATTAAAGCAGTGGTCAGGTTTGATTAATGGTTCACCACTTCTCTTAAGAACTGAGGAGCTGCTCTTAATTTATTCCATTAAAAATTGTCAAAATCACTCGGAGAAGTAATCCAAAATTCCACTAGTACACAAGCAACGATGAGACCCATAAATCTAGAAAAAGGTATTTTAAACTAACAAGCTTTTAGTAGCTTTCTCCCTCCAATTTAACAATTAGCAAGGAGCCTTATAAAAACGCATCTCAGAACAACAGAATTTGCATGTTTTGAAGCTGATCAAGACTTGAAACATCAAAATTCAACAGCACACCCAACCAGGTCAATGAAGACATGCATGCAGGTTGTTTTAAAACAAGCGAATTTCAAAAAGCATAAATAAAAGATGAATGTAATGCTTTGATTAGTACAAAAAACAGTGGGAAAACATGGTAGCACTGTAAAACCCCTCACTTCTGCAGACCTGGACAGGCTTCCTGCATGTAGATGTTGCATGAGATTTGGGAGTGGAGGGAACTCCCAGCCCACATTCCCAGCAGCTGCTGCAGGATTTCCCTCCAGAAGAGCTGGACAAGTGGAACATCCCTTAGAGCATCTCAGGGTATGAGAGAAGGGCTGAGCTGTTTCACAGCCCATCTCATGAACAGCTGGAGCTTCTCCAGCACTCCAGAAATTCTGTGTTCAACGTTAGAGAATCATCACTGAAATGGGGAATGCCAAAGGACAATGCCCAGAATGCGATTTTTAAAAAATAATTTTAGTTTTTTACTTTTGAAATTTCTCTTGAGATGTTTACTGTGACAAGATCTCCCTTGAAACAATCTAAAACTGCCCAAAAAAAACCTCAAGCACAGACCTTTCCCCCTCACATCTACAAACACAGCCAAGCCAAAGACAGAAAAATCATCATTAGGGTTTACAAGAGCCACAAACAAATTTGCTGCTTAATTAGTGAAAAAAATGCATTTTGATTCTGTCCTTTAGAGGAGCAGTAAAGCCCCAAATATACAACATCTCTCAGAGAAGCTGCAGTGCTGCCAAGCTGAAATACCTCCTTTTATGCAAAGTTAAACTATAAAGTCAAGCAGCACCTGAGAATTTATGTCCCTTCTTCTTACAGTCTGGCTTCAGGCTGATCTTCATTACAGCTCCAAAGCAGCTATTTTGAATAAATACATTGCAAACAGCCATGAATTTAAACTGGGAACCAGACCTGGTCCTTGAGGTGCCTTTGAGGCTCAAATCCTGAGGCCACAGGATTGTTTCCACTACAGAGTCCCTGATGCTGGAAGTTCTGGAAGAGCTCTGTACAATAATGAGACTTTCTAGACTCTGGGTCCAGAAATTAATCTGCTTGGAGAGTCCAAACTGGATCCAACTTAACCAGGAATTTTCCTGCTGCCACAGAGAATGAAGGAAAAATTCCAGAAGCCAACAGAAGCCCACGTGTGGGTGGAAGGTGCTGCCCTAGAAATTCCCCAGGAGCATTTTTCAGCAGGAATCCACCCAAGTGAAGGTCATTAAGTGACACCTCAGTGGTTTTTTTTTTTTTGGAAGGGATCAGACAAAGAGGGAAAAGACAAATAGCCTAGGAAAGGCTGCACAAGAGCATAATACATAAAGCAGAGGGAATTATTTAAATTACATAAAATGTAAAAAAATTACACTGCCTTTCCTGCAATTTGTCATCAAACCCAAGTTATTCCATGCAGAAACTGGACTGAGAGCAGGTTCACCCAGAGCAAGGCTTCTGCTGAAGCTGCATTTGTGAGCCTCAGCCAAAGCCCAGGAGGAACTTCTGCCACTGGGAGGAGGTGTAGGTGTGTGTGAACAGTGAAACCTATCTTCTCTTAGCAAGAAGCCCTCATCCTTTCCAATATTCCCCATTTTTCCCCTAAATTATGGCTATTGCATATGGGAAGACTGTTTATATTAACAAATTGCAGAAAGCTCTTTAAACCACCTGAAACCAAGCCAGGGGAAAAGGGTGGAAAATTAAACCATTACTTAGTGCAAAATGTTGCCACAGAACTGTAGAACCCTACAAATCCCACCCTCCAAATACTCTGAATATTCTGAATAATATTCTAATAACACCCCACCTTTCAAACATTCTGAACTGATACAAACTTAGTTTATATAAAATACAGTTTAAGATAAGGTCAAGTCGCTACAGCAATCTTGGGGGGTGGGTGACCCCAAGAGCGTAAAAATCCTCATTTTCAAACGCACGTGGCCAAAGAAGAGTTCTGAATGTGCAGGGTTGATTTCTCAAGGTTGTTTATTTTCCCTTACTAGAACATTCTCTCTCTGCCCTGCTGAGCTCTGTCCAGCATGGCCGTGGCATTCTGTCTGCCCTCAGGGTGGTGTTTGCATTTTACACCAAAAACCACCTGTGTCATGTTTACAATAACGTGCCAATATCTGTAATTTATGTTGGACAGTGTGTCCCTACCTTAAACCAAGAGAAAAGTGTCACCATTCTCTCTCTGCCCTGCTGAGCTCTGGCCAGCAGCTCGGCCGTGGCGTTCTGTGCCTCACCTCGGGCAGCGTTTACATTTTATATCAGAAATTATGTGACTATATTTACAATAACGTGCCAATATCTGTCATTTATGTTGGACAGCGTGTCCCTACCTTAAACCAACAGAAAAGTGTCACCAGCACAGCAAGACACGGAGGGTAAGGAGAAGGAGAAGAAGGTCAGGACACGCCCAAATCCCTCCATCTTGTCCCCTTGAACCCCATTCTATAAAGCCCCAAAATTCTACTTTTTCACCCTGTGTTAGTACAAATACCACACTACTCAAACCCTTGTGGTTTGTAATTCCTCATACAGAGTTGGCAGCTTTTTTCCATGGGTAAAATGGAAGCCACAGGTGTTTTTGACTTGGTGCCAGGCTCTGGGGACAGCCAGGGCAGCCCGGGGGACGTGCTGGGTCCCCGCACAGCGATAAGGACACGGCGCTGCCGCCCGCCTTCGCTCCAGCCGCGTCATTTCCCGTTTCACTCACCCGGCCTTGGTTCCGTGAGCCTCCTTCTCCTTCCCTCTGCCCTTGTCCTTGTCCTTGGCCTTGTCCTTGTCGCGGCCCCTGCGTCGCTCCCGGGAGGCGCTGGGCGTTCTCCGCTGGCCGGACCGCTCGCTGCTGCGGCTGTAGGATCGCTGCCGGGCCCGCGAGCGCGACCTGCGCGGGGCACAAGCACAGAAGTCAGAACTCCAAATGTCCCTCCGACATTTTTGGAGGTTCCAGTCCCTGCTCAGAAGCATTTGGGACCCTGGCACAGCTGCAAACAGCTGGGATTTTGGGTTTGAGCCATGGGATGAGTTACCAACCTTGCAGGAAGAACAAGAAGTCACAAAAGTTTAGATATTACAGTAGAAGTAGTCACAAAGTAGAGGGAAGAATTATTTAGTATTGTACAAGGGGGTTTTAACACATGTACAGGGGGGTTTTTACTTTGTACATGGGGGACAGAAGTTCTAAGATAGAGGAATGTAGGCTGGTCCTGTTCCTCCTCTTTTTTCTTCCTTACCTCCATGTTCTTGATGACATTGGCATTTATGGATTGGTTTAGAATAGAAAAGCACCATTTAATATAGGTAATAGGCATTGGGAAAAACTGTAACCATGTAACACGTAATGTACCATATAAAAGATAGAAAATCACCATTTAATATAGGGAATAGGCATTGGGAAAAACTGTAACCATGTAATACGCAATGTACCATATAAAAGATAGAAAATCACCATTTAATATAGGTAATAGGCATTGGGAAAAACTGTGAACATGTAACACGTAATGTACCATATAAAAGAGAGCAGCAGCCCTGGGCAGGGAGAGAAGAAGACGAGGAAGAAGAAGAGGAGAAGGAGTCAGAGAGGATGTCAGGGTGTGTGTGTGCCTCTGCCTGAGCTGTGAGCAAACCACAGCAGCTCCAGAAGAAAATCTTTTAGAAAACTTGCAATGAACTGCCTTGAGACCCAACAACAAGAGGCTGCAGAGTTTTCTTTGGAAGGAGGCTTGGAGGAGAGACTTTTCCACCACACGGAACCCCTGAACCAGACCCACCAGGTTGGAACAGACCCTCACTGCCGGGTCCTGCTTCCTTCTCCTGCCTCTGCTGGGGTTGATTCATGGTTGTCACTAACCCAAACCCTAACCAAAACTCTTGTGAGAAGCAGCCAGATAGTGAAGGAAGGTTCTCCTTCACTAGAGAAAGAAGGGGCTGCTTCTAGGCAGACAGAAAGGATCCCCAAAGTGTAAAATACCAAATTAGTCCAACAAAACACCACCAATTCCTCTGCCTTCCTCTGCAGAGACTTCCAGGTATTTTCTCCAAAAAACAGTGGGTGAAGTCAAACATCTGACATCAGCAGGCCTCGTCTGCTGCCAAGGGTTTCATCTCCAGGTTTTGGAAACTTTTGGCTACTCAGCCCTGAATCCAAACACTTTTTAAAATGCTTTAAAGGTCTAGAGTGAAAATCTCTGTGATCTCACTGCCCTACTTTCACAGTTACAAAATTTCACCATCAGAACAACCTGTCAGCCATTTCTCACCAGCACTGCACCTCAGCCTTGTTGTATACCCCACCTTNGGAACCCCTGAACCAGACCCACCAGGTTGGAACAGACCCTCACTGCCGGGTCCTGCTTCCTTCTCCTGCCTCTGCTGGGGTTGATTCATGGTTGTCACTAACCCAAACCCTAACCAAAACTCTTGTGAGAAGCAGCCAGATAGTGAAGGAAGGTTCTCCTTCACTAGAGAAAGAAGGGGCTGCTTCTAGGCAGACAGAAAGGATCCCCAAAGTGTAAAATACCAAATTAGTCCAACAAAACACCACCAATTCCTCTGCCTTCCTCTGCAGAGACTTCCAGGTATTTTCTCCAAAAAACAGTGGGTGAAGTCAAACATCTGACATCAGCAGGCCTCGTCTGCTGCCAAGGGTTTCATCTCCAGGTTTTGGAAACTTTTGGCTACTCAGCCCTGAATCCAAACACTTTTTAAAATGCTTTAAAGGTCTAGAGTGAAAATCTCTGTGATCTCACTGCCCTACTTTCACAGTTACAAAATTTCACCATCAGAACAACCTGTCAGCCATTTCTCACCAGCACTGCACCTCAGCCTTGTTGTATACCCCACCTTTCAAATATCCTGAATTGATATAAACTTAGATTATTTAAAATACAATTTAAGGTTTTTATAATTTTGGATTTTATAGTTATATTTTATTATTTAATTTCAATAAATTTAATAAATAGATCTAATAATGTAGCACATTTCACAGTTTAATACCTTGAAACTGACAATTTAGCAAAATAAGTGAAAAAGAAAACACGGCTCCTGCTCTGAAAAGAGATGCAAAATAACTTAAAACACACAAGGCAGGATTCATCCATTAACAAAATGGAAAAAAAGATCAAGAAGTATTAGGGCTGGCTCTTTGTATGTCCAAAATTATTTCATTATTCCTGAATTTCTGGTAGAGGATTTTCTAAGCTGTATTTAATAATTTTTCATGGATCAATGCTACCTGAGTAGACAAGGAATATTTGAGAAAAATCAGGTCAAGTTTTCCTTGGTTTCTTCTACCTGAGCACCCTGGACTTTGGAATTGTCCCTTCCCAGGGCAGGGCTGGAATGAGATGGGCTTTAAGGTCCTTCCCAACCCATCCCATGATTCTACAATTCCATGATTCCCATGACAGTTCTGATGGTACCTCATGGAAAAGTTCCATTAAGTAGTGAGGGAAATGGGGAATTTTTAAAACAGTATAAAAAGTTTCTTTTAGCACCTCTCGGAGGGCAAAACTGCCAAGGCCTTTAAAAACCAAATCACACAGACAAAAATCCCTCCTTTTATGAAACAACAACTGCTCAATAAAACTCAACAATAGACTAAGCAAAAGAAAATCCTCCATCTGGATGAGGCTATAAATTACATTTCTGGAACTTGTCCAGCACATGGGAGTTCAGGTCCCTGTTCCTGCCAGGAGCAGCTCCAGAGGTCAGGGCTGGGTTCCTGTTTCAGCAGCTGGTACCTTCCAACAGCAGCTCTCCCATCCTGGTCACTCTATTAACACTAATAAATAGATCAAATTACCACTGCACTGCTGTATTCTTAACTGGAGAACATTTGCTGGCTCAAAATGGATTTTTAGCATGTCATCACAAATGTGAAAGTGTCCATCCACCCATCCTTACTCCTCAGGCAGAGGAAGTTTTGACTTGAAAGGGAATTCTGGATATTAAATCTAATTTTTGTTTGGCACAGAGACACTACTTTTACATCATCACAGATTTACAGAGCACTGCCCTAAATCCACTATTCCCAGTAACGTTGACTTCTCAGAACTCTGCAGGTGAGTCCACAACAGAAAATAAACCCCAAACAACAGAACAAACACAGCCCTGTAGCAACACAAATCACCTTTAATCGATGCAGGGCCTCTCCTCACTTAATGGCACAGTTCTCCCACCAGGAGCAACAGGAATCTAAAATATTTATTGCTAAAGAACTTCAGTTTCTCAGCTCAAATCTGAACTGGAGTTCACTTCTACCTTTTGCAGGTGCAAATAAAATTCAGCTGAGGCAGGCTGGATGTTCAGTCCCTGGATTTCTGCTCATTCCCACCTCTGTGCAGAAGTGGTGGCAGGTGACATTTATATATAGGAAACAGCTTTTAAAAATTAGTTATTGCATGGAATCTCCCCATCCCTGGAAGTGTCCAGGGGCAGGATTGGAGCTCCCTGGGATAGTGGAAGGTGTCCCTGCTATCCCTCCCTGGGCACCCAGTGTCCCACACGCTCACAGGGATGGATTCCTTCCAGCATCCCATCTAAACCTCCCTCCATCAGCTTCAGGCCATTCCCACTCGTCCCATCCCTCCATGGCCTTGGCAAGAGTCTCTCTCTACTGTTCCTTAATTCCTATTCAAGTATCTTGCAAGATCTACAGGACAGGAAATCTAGATAAAACTTCGTGAAATGGAGCTCCCAAAAGCTCCATCTGCGTCCCCAGCTCATCACCGAACCACAACAAAAGACCACATATCTGGCAGAGCAGACAAATTTTCTATTTTATCTGCTGTTGAAAAATGACAAGAATCACAATTAGTCCTATTAAAGCAAGACCCCAAATGTTCAAATTATGGAACTACCAGAAGAAAAAAAAAAAAAAAAAAAAAAAAAAAAAAAAAAAAAAAAAAAAAAAAAAAAAAAAAAAAAAAAAAAAAAAGAAGCTGTAGAGGAGATTTCCAGCATGGATCCCCTTCCCCCCAAACGACACCCAAAACACCCACCCACCATGCCAAAGGTTAAGTCATTTAGTCAAGTTCAAAGATCTTCAAAGGGTTCTTAGATCCAGATAAGCCCATATGTTCCCAAAATTCTGTGAAAAGCCATTACTTTCCAATCTGCTTTTCATGTCTAAGTTGCAGAACACACAGATGCTTGGCATCACTCGGGATCCCTAAATTCTCACACCAGATAATCAAGGCTCACCAATAACTTCCTCATCTCAAACCCTAAGAAATGGCTTTATTCCACGGGCCGCTTGTAAAAACTGAAAGTCTCCATAAAAGCCCATTCAGTTACTGCACAATAAGTGTTAATTTGCTAATTTCTTCACAGGTAATCAATTAAAATGTAAAATATTGGATAAAATTAGTTGCACTAAATTTAACAGCTGCTCCATAAGCATAATTAGTTTCACAAGGGCCATATGTATTCTGAGCAGAGACCGAGTTGAAACAAATAAGCGGATTTTAAAACAAGTTTGAGGAAATCTGCATTTAATTAGCAGGTGGGCACTACAACTGCATAATGTTTTTATACATTTATATTTATGAAGTGACAGAAGATCTAAAGGCTTTTTAAAATGGCGTTTATTGTTTGAATGGGAACTGTTTTGCTGCATGCTAAAGTGATTTAAATCCTTATAGCCCCGCTTTGAAAAAATCATAAATGGTGAAAGAAAACATGTGGAAAACTGTAAAACTAGAAAGAATTTGCGACAAAAAGCAGAGCCACATACCATAACCAAAAGGAAACTACACTTAATTAAATGTACACTACATCTGGAATATCAGCCTAATAAAACGTGCAACTATTAATTCTCATTGTTCTAAGGGAAATGAGGTCAGTGGCGTTTAGTATTTCCCCAATTATATTGCACTAAAGTGC